AATCAACAAGGCTTCACCCCACAACTCAAATTCAGTTTAGCATGCAATAACATAGCATTCACCATTTTGAAAATGTTTGATTCTTGCTCTTTGCTACACTATTATGTTATGGTGTATAGGGTGATTTACATCCATGAATACTGCTAGTTTCTTCATAAAATAAATTACATTCAATTGAGAAATATTCACCACCTCTATCACTTCTCAAAATTTTAATATTTTTACCAATTTGATTTTTAACTTCGACTTTGTAAACTTTAAAAAAATTATCATTTTTATTTTTTAATATAAACACATAAATAAGTCTTGAACAATCATCAATTTATGTAACAAAATACCTATTGCCGCCTCTAGTTTTTACACCGATAACTTCACAAAGACCACTATGTATGAAATCAAGCAAATTCGATGATTTTTTCACACTTTGAAAAGGCTTTTTGATCATTTTAGACTCAACATATATTTTACAATTTATTTATATCACAATTAATTAGATAACTTCTTACAATTATTTCTATAGTGTTTAAACCAACATGTGCATGCTTATTTTGCCAAAATGACAAAGAATTTGAGTCCCACACATAAATAAAAGTAGATTCCTCTTTATCCATATTATTTTCAATGCAAAATTTAATCATCCCATCAGTAGAATAATGTTTTTCGATAAAATCTTTAATTTTGTTAAAATTAGCTTACCGTATTCAAACACAACCTTCATACCTGGTTTCCTAAGTAAATCACCACCGACAAGATTTCCATTTATATCGGGAACATACAAAACATTAATATGAGTAAACTTTTTTTCGAAAGTAAATACAATCTCAATTGTGCCTTTGCCTAGCACCTTGGATTTTCTTTCATTCTCCATTTGAATCTCTTGATCGCCCTTTGCATCTTCAGAGTTTTTGAAAAGTGATTTGTCATAGGTAACATAAATGGTGGTACCGTTGTCATACCACCATCCTTGCACCTTCCCCTGGACAGTACATACATAGTGTAAAGTTGCAATGATCTCATCATCAATTGCATTCATTTTAGCCCCCTTTTGATCCCTGCAATCTCTTTCAAAATGTCAATGTTTTCTACAAACAAAACAAGAGCCTTTCTTGTCATTAAATTTTTCATGGTTTTTCTTTGGACATAAAGCATTGTTGAATTTTATATTTTTATTTTTTTTAGTGAAATATTTTTGTTTGAAAACCATATTTGCTTTGCAAGTCCAACTTTTGCACTCATCGGCCATTCTATCTTTTAGTTTAAGTTCTCTCTCAATACGAAGATGTTTTTGAATATCCTCCAAGGAGTAATTATCATTATTGTGGAGAAACCGTTTTCGGTACCCCTTCCAACTTCAACGTAGTTTAGCCACGATGACACCAACTTGAAAAGCCTCTGAAAGTTCAATTTTTAAAACTTTCAATTTATTCACAAGTATTTGCAACTCATGAATTTGAGGTAATAAAATTTTTCTGTCGAAAAATTTAAAATCAAAATATTGGAAAATGAGAAATTTTTTAGTACCTTTTTCTGGTTTTGTATTTATTTTTTAGAGCTTCCTAGATATCCCTAGCCGAATAATTGGTGTAGAAATTGTATAACGTATCAGGTATGACATTTAAATATGACCTCAACATATTAACTCGGCTACCTCTTTTATATATCTTCCATGCAACCACAATTTATGGTGTATCTTTTTTTATTTGGTTTTCGTTGTGGAGCCAAGGATCGCGATTGTAAAAATCTTGAGGATTGTGAGAAGAAATTTCACCTTGTCTATGTCTCCTTGTAAACAGAGTTTTTGATTGTTGAAAATATTAGGCAAACAGTAGAGAAAAGATCACTCGAATATTATTATTCAATATTTCTCTAAGAATACATATAAAATAACATAAAACAAAAGAATAAAACAAGTTCTTTGGAACTTTTTATAAAAACTCTATTTCCTCTATCTCTTGAAATCTTTAAGGAATACACAAATTGAAATATGTTTTGGAACCGATCAAGTATTTATATGACTCATCGCGGTGGGGTTACAAAATGTATGAATAATATTTTACAACTCATCATCTTTAATGAGAACTATAAATCTCATAAAGTTGCAACTTGCTTAATTAATTCCAAATTAATTAAATCGATAAGTTTCAAGTTTGCGAAAGTGAAATTCATCCCACATGCATTGTCTTAAAACATATCCTAAATTCATGCATTGTGTAATATCTTATACTAATAAGGCTATGTTTGGTAAAACAAGCTGATAAGCTAGCTTATAGCTTATCAGTAATTTTCGAGCTTATAGCTTATAACTTATGACTTATAGCTGAAAAGCAAGCTTATATGATAAAAGTGTTTGTAAAATTAGCTGATAAGCTAGCTGAAATAAAAATTTCAACGAGCTTATTTGAAAAGCTACCCAAAGAAGCTTATCAAGTATGCTCGAGCTTTTAAAAAAAGTTCGTCCTACCAAACAGAGCTTATTTGAAAACAGGGAGCTTATAAATTAACTAAATAAGCTATAAGCTAGCTTATCTGTCTATCAAACATAGTGTAAATATAACATATAACTCATTTTACATCAATTTTTTAACGATAAATATAACATTGTGCATTCGTGTCGTGTGTTTGCTCACTTCTTAACAAATTGTTATAGGTCTTTAAAAGCACATGTCCCCCGTTGTATATTAAGGGAAATCAAAAGGAAATACAAAGAAAACTTCTCTTGTTTAATAATAATAATAACAACAATAATAATCTATACCTATATCTATATCTATATCTATCTATCTATCTATCTATATCTATCTATCTATCTATCTATCTATCTATATCTATATCTGTATCTATATCTATCTATCTATCTATCTATACTATTATAAAAGGACGAGTGATTTTGTAAAAATAATGATCTACCTAAAAAACCCCCTTACTTTGACATATTTTTAATGACAAAGTTGTAATCACACTGAATATATCAATATAAAAGGATTCTAATCTAAATTTATAAATAAAACACAAAGACTTTAATTATATAATAAAATAAAAAAAAAACTTTCTTTTGACGCGTATGATTTCTACACTCATTAGGACTTGATAATTTTTATATGAATTTTTTAAGTTTCAAAATTTCATAATTCTCATTAATGGGTTTTGATGTATTATAATAAGATTATCATTTTTATATTTGTAAGAATATACAGTATCAATTGTTTATTTAAAAGACACTTTAATTATTCCTTGTACTATCATATATTGAAGACTGGAATAATTATATACAATTACATAATTGTATCAAACTCATCTGGCGTTATATAATTTTTTTGTTAATTATTGCATTTATTTTTTATGTTGACTCTACAGCTAAATACTTAAAATAGCGAAGATTCACACAAAATTTTTGTGACGCCTTTTGATGATCGTGTAATTTCTATTTTGATCATAAATAAACTAAGGAATCATACATGACCCTCGTGCGGATATAAACTTTCATTTATCTAGAATTATTTCGTGATATCATTTATAATTATTTTTATTTATAATGTATCTTAAAAGTAAAAGTTATTTCTAAAATATTTTGAAATTCTTAAACTGCTTAAGGTCACCAAAAAAACTTAATATTAAGAATATGGGTTACAGTATGTATTATTTAGTATTCTTGAAAAATAATAGCAATCACTTAACATTCCAAAACAATCATTTATTTTAATTTTCACTAATACATAAAAGACCTTTCTTTTTAAATAAATATTATTTAAAAAATTATAATTCTATTTTTTCTTTATTTACGCAAAAAACTATTGATCATGTAGTTGTTATGAAAGTTTTTTTTTTAAATGGAGTTCTTAAGATATCATTTGTGTTTGGTGTGTTTTAATAAAAAAATTATGATTACAGTTAAATATTATACTCAAACAGAGTTTTAAGTACAATTGCACGAGACTAAAAAGTCCTTATATTTATATAATTTTAATGAAAAAATTGTAATAACCATTAAGTATCTTAATGTGTTATAATAATAATAATTAAATATCTCAATAAAATTGGATTATAACAAAAAACAAAATTCTTTCAAAAAATAAAGCCTAAACAAAATAGATTTAAAAAGGAAACAAAATATTAATTTATCAATAAAGGAAAAAAATTAATAAACGAGATGCAAACTATTTCAATAATACTGAATTGCATTAAAATATATTCCTAAATAGTATGTCGAACAAATAAAAAAGTTGGGCAAAAATACTATCCTCAATTTCACAACATACAATATTAAGTAAAAATTATTATAATTCTAAATGCATATTATTTTCATATTGCTAATAACATAACTCCATGTCATAATAAATAAAGTTTAATAATATAATTATATAAAATTTACATTAAACTATTAACCAGGCATATAAAACTACTCGAATGCCTTTTCGATAAAATAGAGTATCAAATAGGAGATATGATTAAAAAATAATAAAAAACACATGATATAACATGAAAGAAAACAAAAAATGTATTTTTCACATGAATTAATTAGGGACGTGATAGCAAATATTAAAATATAAAAATCATATCATTATTTTATTTTTATTATTTATTCATATTTAGATTTAATTTCTAGAATTAAAATATTTGAACACGGTAATAAATTAAATAGAAAAAATAATAAGAGTAACTAATATCAAATTTTATATTACTATACTACGAATCTATAGTTATGAACTACATAGTTTAGTTAAAAGGTGTCTTTCATTAAAGTAAATTTCAACAACTATATTCAATAATATTTTTATCCAAAAAATCAATTTTAAAAAGTAACAAAATCTTATAAACTGAAATATAATGATAAAAACTACCCTATAATACACTATAAGAAAAAAAACTTCTTGCAACATAAAAATAATGACTTTTATAATAAGTATAACTAAAACCAAAGTTATTGCGACACTTTTATTGGGACTACATGTAAAAAATTAAAAATTAAAAAAAAATGTCTTTTTTCCTTTTTTAGTGTGAAAATGTGGGAAGACGCATCTGATACTATCTCTGAAGATACATTCATGCTGTAAGTTATGTGTAAATTAGATTGTTTTGTGATTATATTGATCTAGTTTCATTATGTAAATTATTTTTGTGTATTGAAGTTGACTATCGTCTTCTTGTGATTTATTATTCTCTCTGGCAATATATTATGGAAGTTACAGAATCTTCCAAACATAATTACATAATCTTAAAGTACATGATTTTCCAATAACTTTTATTTCTCATTGCCTAGTTACCTTGCAGCCAGCCAATCCACATTGCCTAGTTGTTTCATATGAGTAATTTGTTTAATAACATAATTAGTTTTTGAACTTCTTGCTGGATTTTAGATGGATTTTGTGCAAATTATACTCTCCGGACTCAATTTTAACATCCCTGTCTCTTGTCTTAGGTGTTGATCCAACTTTAATCAACAAGATTCAAGATCCATTTTTTCTCGACCAAGTAGCTCAAACGTACAAGGACATCTCGAGCACGGTTAGGTTGTTTTGACTGTGGTCGGGTGCATGGGTTCGGGAATCTGATGGGGCCTACAACAGTGGCTGCAAAGATGTCTCTCATACCTTTGCTAATAGATTCTGGGTTGTGCCTTCACTAGAACAATTGACAATTGATTTCCAATATGACGATGAAACGTCGCACGCACATGTTGTCTAAAAAAGAAAGGAAATGCAATTTCTATTTGTCGACTAAGAAGGTACTTGGATCAACTGGGCATGGCAACAACAACATTCAATCACAAGGTTTTTTGCACACAAGCTTTAATTGGTTTCAGTACATCACTCATTCATAATCCTGATTATTACGGGCAAAGTCGCAGGCCCGACCTGCTTGACCCGTCGTCGGTCACGGCCGGCCAGGGCGGGTCCATGGGTCAGGTGTCCAAATTGGTTTGATTGTTTGTTCGGTTTCTTACCGAAGTATGTTTGCATTTTTTTGTAGTATCCATATATCAATGTCATAACCATGTTTGTATGTTAGTTACTTGTGTAACATTGTTAGTATGCTTTCGGCTATCCAATTCCTACTTTGTGTATTGATGCAGGCAAGTTCTTGTAACACTGAATTTTCATAGTTGGAGACACTCAGAAGCAAAACACAGGTACAATTACTCTGCTATTATCTATTATTAGAGTAAGGAAAAATATTTGGTTCCAACTTTTGCCATGAATGTCTAAATCACGGGTATGTTACTATGTCGTCAACGACATAGCGCGTTGCTGTTGATTTTGTGGAATAGAGCCTATTCTATCAATGCATGACTATACCACCAACATATTCATCTATCTTCCATTGTCGCGATGTTTACGGCTATGTTTAAAACTACGTTAACTGTCTTGTTTTATCTTCTCATATAATATTGTAACTTTTATTGATTAGTTTTTATTTATCTACTTCAATGTCCTTGATGAGATTGATTAACTGTTTTTCTTTGGTTGCTTTGAAACAGAAAGATGGTGGTTAATCCAAGAACCCATGAAAGCAAGCGTATTATTTGCATTCACGTTATTCTACATTCTGAAAATACATTTGTGTAATTTTTTTTATGAGACGCGATGTAACTTCTGTTTGAACTATATTATTGAATTCAATATTTATTCAGCTCGCGTATATATTTTTTTTTATATATTGTCGTATAACAATGTTTCGTTGTTAGAAGTATCATTACTTTCAAGATAGTTTCATAATAATGACGAAATAAAAATGTGTCGTAGATTGAGAATTCTTAACGCCCATATTTTGTGTCACCAAAAATTATAATGGCATACTTAAAAAAGTGTAGTGTATTGAAAATTGCCAACAATTCAATTTAGTTTCACAATAATCCGTATTAATGACGCAACAAAATAAGCGTCATGCATTGGAATTTACTACGCTAAAAATTTATGTCACAACTCGTAATCATAATGACGCAATAAAAAAAGAGTCACCTATTAAAAACTACTTACACTAATATATTGTGTCACTAAATTATGTACTAACGACGCACTTTTGGAAAAGTGTTGCGTATTAAAGATTACGTACGCATCTAGGTTGCGTAACAAATAAATTCGTGACATCAAATTTAGCAACGCAACTCGGGACACTTTTGCAAGTGTAGGTAAATTTATTTGTGACACTAATAAATGTCACCAAATAAAAAAATAAACGTCACTAAATGCAGTTTTTGTTGTAGTGATATAACAATGAATAACATGTAAAAAAATTAAATACGAATACTTATTGCCAAATAGATGAATGTTGATTGCTCAATATCTTTATATTTGATATACTTATAATAATAAAAATATAACTACAATGATTAGTAAAAGAGATAAAAGTATAATTTATTGTAAAATTAGAAGTATGCATAACAACAAATAAAATCCAGTTAACTGAAAGTAATTGAACGCAATTGTAAAATAAATTATAAAATATGTTAACTTTGAATAAGGATCTTTTTCATTAACTACAAAATATCACATTTGATACATGTTTCTATCATGATGAATTTTATAAAATATATTGATGTACTTTTATGGAGTTAATATAAAAATATAGAATATTTTTATATAAAATAAATAGTACATAAATAGATGACATTCTATGAAATATTATTTCTTTTTTTTTTTTCCAAAACGACAGGGGAACTATTATATAACTCAGAAAACAACCATGTTCGAATACAGAGAGAATCAAACTAGAATAAAATACACCGAAAATAGAAAAATGAGAGGCACACTAACATGTGGCCTAGAGCCTCAATAAAGAAAAAACTGAAAATGAAAAACTACAAACTATAAAGAGAAAAGAAACCGAAAGAGTTAAATCACTTGCCACTGCAACAATGCCTAGCCAGTAATCCAACCCCAAGAAAAAACCAAGGAAATAAACCAAATTAGGAAATAGCAGAAAACTGGAGCCAATCCGAAAGAGCAGCTTTGATCATCACAGGAACCGGCATGAGAGATTTTTGAAAAATCAAAATATTTCTAGACTTCCACAACCACCAAAGAATGTATGTTGAAAGTTGGATCCTGTCTTCGGTGACTTTGGAAATACAAAAATTATTTTTTAGTTGTCAATATCATAAACTAATTATTTTAATTTTTTGTGCTAATCAATCATGAAACAAATACATGATTACACCATAAGCTGAACATTCAGATTTTTGATGTACGGAAATATGTTATAAATTAAATATAAAATGGTATTTATTAACCATTTTTTACATATTTAGTGATTTATAATATGTATATTTATTAAGTTGTATATAACTACTTTAAGTTTCAAATTTCATGATTCATTTTTTTTTTTTCGAAACGATAGAGGTATTATATAAAACCGCACAAATGTGCAATAGTACAACCACCAGCTGAATACAAACAACTAACAACTGAATATAGACAGCCAACAGCTGATTAGACTGGGAGGACAGGTCAAAAGACCGCTTAGAACCGATCCCAACGGGGTAATACTGCAGAAACACAAAAAACACACCGACACTAAAAGCTTTCAGAGGGAGAAAACAAAGAAAGGAAAAGAAACGACCCCAACAGGGTAATGCCCGAGTGTACGATCCCAATAGGATGATAAGGTCACATTCGGGCTAACCAGGGCCAACGGTCCAAACCTAAAACACAAATGCAGACACAAATACCGACAAATACAAACAACACAAAACAAGAACAAACAAACAAAACACTCAAAAAACAAAAAACTACAAACTAAAAACACAGCCTTCCTCAGCAGATACATCCGAAAAAGACAGCGGACAAAGTCGATTTCGAGGAGAGCTCCGAAGCTCTGATACCACGCCCGCCACAGCATAAGGCGTAGCAAGACGATGACTCAAGCCTCAGAACAATCCGAAAAACCGACCCACACACCAACCGCAAGAAACCACAATCGCACCCCAACCGGCTAACACCACTAGCCAATCCAACACCTTCCCGAATCTACCTATCACCACTAGCCAACTCCGAAAAAGGTCGGCCTCCCACAAAATCAGGAACAGAGAAAGGAGAGGAAGGGGACGAATGTCGTCAATGCTCAGCCGCTCTGACCCAGCCCAAAGGGACGAGCCCAGCCCGAAACGACCACCAATCCACCTAGCCCGCAAGGACGAACCCTGACCTAACACCCCTGCACATTCGAGGTGCCAGTGACCAGACTCCGGCAAAAACCGAAGATCTGCAACCGGTCTGACCTCCAAGCCCGGCGAGAAGAGACGACCCGACCAAAGCTCAAACCCGAGCTCCCCACCCAGCCCCCGAAGACGAACCCCTGCCCACTCGCTGCCACACCTGAGCTCCGGCGAACAGAGTACCGGAATTGTTACCTGCAAATTCGTAGAACCGGAGACAAGGCCGTCGACAAAAAATGGTAAGGGGAGACACCTTAACAAGGATGATGCAAGCAACTTGAGTCGCGTCCAGCCTCGTGTGCCGCACTCCACCCAGCCTCGCCACCCAGGAGCTCCGGTGGCCGTCCAGCGCAGATTTGCGAAATCCGCCGAAGACCGCCATCCTCGCCCCACGGCCAGAGAGACGAATGGTAGAGTGCCGCGAATAGAAGCGTGGACGCGCGGCGAGGAGCAGTCCACCAGAAAGTCGGATGGACATTGAGAGAGCACAATTCACCAGCGCTGAAAGCTAGGGTTACTGGAGAAAAAGGATTTTTTCGCTGAGGAAGAGAAGGCGCTATTCTGATAAATTTCATGATTCTCACTAAAGAGTTTTGATTTATATTATCATATTTAAATTTGTAAGAATATACGATTTTTTTAAAATACACTTTAATTAATATTTGTACTATCATATATTGACAACTGGAATAATTATATACAATTACATAATTGTTTCAAACTCATCTGACGTTGTATAATTTCTTATTAATTATTTCATTTATTTTATATGTTAAGTCTACAACTAATATACATAAAAGAGCTAATATTCACACATAATTTCCGTGACATCATTATTGATTGTACAAATCTAATCGTAAGTTTGATGTCAAATAAACTAAGGGAATCATACATGGCCCCCATGGAGGTACGCACTTCCATTTATCTAGAATTTTTTCTTGATATCATTTATAATTATTCTATTTTACTTATAGTGTAGCTTAAAATAAAAGTTATTTCTAAAACATTGCGAAATTTTTAAACTGTTTAAGGTCACCAAAAAAAACTTAATATTAATTATATGGTGTATTATATAAATGGGCACAAATGTGCAAAATGGGAGGACAGGTCAAAAGACCGCCTAGAACCGACCCCAACGGGGTAATACTAATAATCTAGAAACACAAAACACAACCGACCCTAAACGCTCCCAAAGGGAGAATGAAAAGAACAAAACAAAAAGAAAAAGAAACGGCCCCAACGGGGTAATGCCCGAGTGTGGGATCCCAACAGGATAATAAGGTCACACTCGAGTTCACAGAGGCCAACGGCCCAAACTAAAAACACAAGACGGAACAAACAAACCAAGCAAATCAAAAGCAAAACACTACAAAAAACACAAAACAGAAACAACCCTCCCTCAGCAGAGACATCCGAGATTGACAGCAGACAAAGCCGACTCCGAGGAGAGATCCAAAGCGCAAGAACCTCGCACGCCGCTGCCTAAAGCCTAGCAAGACAAAGACCCAATCCCTAAAAACAATCCAAAAAACTGACCCGCACTCCAGCCGTAGGAAGTCACAACCGCCCCTCAATCAACTGACACCACTAGCCTAGTCCGACACCTTCCCGAAATCGTCTAACACCACTAGCCGATTCCAGAGACTGCCAACCTCCCTCGGCCACAAAGTCAGCGACACAAGGGGGGTAAGGGGTACGAAGCAACCCAGCGTGGCCACTCCGACACAGCCCGAACGGACGACCGGCTCACCTCCCAGCCCCAAAGACGAACCACTTCCCATCTCCTCAGCTTCACCAAAATACCTGCGACCGGAAGTCGCGAGTCAACTCCGGCAGAAACCAAAGAACTGCAGAGAAGCCGCCGCTGAACCTGGAGAGAAGAGACGTCCCGACACAGCCACGACGACCCACCGGCGCCGCGCTACACCGACCACCAACACCCCGACATCCCGGCCGCCATCGCAGAGAACAGGGACTCTAACGAAGAATCGGCCAGAATCCTACGGCGTGCGACAATCAATGAGACCCAGTGCCATGGACGACCGGCGGAGCACCGTCCACCGGCAAACTCTGACGGCAGCTAAGGGAGGCAAACCGGCAATTTTGTTAGGGTTTTGCTGATTTGGGAAAAGGGGTTTTTGAGAGAGGGTTTCTGAAACCTAAGTTTAATTATATGGGTTACAATGTCTATTGATTAGTATTCTTGAAAAATAATAGCAATCACATATTATTCCAAAAAATCATTCATTTTAAGTTTCATTAATGTATATAAGATTTCAAACAAATCATCACTATTACCAATAAAAATAAATAAATAAAATCATCACTACATACATTTT